GAGAGAGAGGGAGAGAGATAGAGAGCTCTTTTTTCTGAGAAAATCATCAGCTCTTTTGTTTTTTTTTGTGTCTTTTGGTTCTTAATTAGGAAGGAAGCCTTTGCCTTTGATGGAGAAATTGAAAGCTGGAGGATACAACTCATTTCTACAAACCTCACTACCTGAAGAGTTTCAGTGCTTCAAGCCAAGCCAAGAGACTACAGAGTCAGCTCATCAAGCCTTTCTAAGGACATTCCCAAGAGGATTTGCCTTGGAAATTGTTGAAGTTTATTCAGGGCCTCCAACTATAGTCTACAAATTCAGGCATTGGGGCTACATGGAGGGTCCCTTCCTAGGACATGCTCCCACAGGAGAGAAGGTGGAGTACTTTGGGATCGCCATCTTTGGGGTATCTCTCTTACACATAATATTTCAGACTCTCTTTGGCATAAATCTTTGTGCTCTAGTAATATTTCATATTTTATAAGCTATCTGTTTGATCTTTTCCTCTGTCTTACACAAAATTTCTCGGACTCTCTTACTAAAAATCTTTGCACTCCGGTTAATTTTTATACCTGGGAAATTTATCATAATACAATATTTTTAGTAAGGATATTTTTTACTAATGGGAGATGTATTACATCATCTAAATGAGGTGTGACATCACCGGTATAAAGCATTATCGGTGATGTTATGCCGCATGTAATGATGTGATAAAAAATACCCTTACTAAAAAATAGTCCATGTACAAAAAAGAGTATACAAGTGCCCAATTTTTGTTGAGTATAGTTATAAAATGCTCTATAGTGTGAGCACCCTAACATAACCCTATACTTATTTTCAACTATTCCAACTCAAGATCATGTATTTTTTTAGACGTACGTTGAATTTAAATCAAAATATATGCCTATGATGTTAAATTGTTCATCTCTTATAGAGAATTTGATAAGTTTCCCTTGATATTTTGTAAGCATTTAGATCTTTTCATTTAGACCACTCTCTCGTGCCTTTTAAACTCTAGTTGTTTTCAATACTTTGTAGGTTTTTGCCTTTGATGCTATCAATTTCTTAGGGATATTTTGCAAATATTTTCTCTTTAATGACTTAAGACACAAGGCAATCCCCATTTTAAACTGTCTATTTTTCTCTCTATCATTTCCAAAGGAAATCTCATTTAAATTATATGCATCCCCCAAATATGTCAAAGAATTACACCACCATGGTTAATTACTTGATTCCCTAAACTGGCACTTTGGTTTTACTAACTATTGAACTATTTAAACCCCTAGAGGCTAGAAGTAAATGGTTTGACGATCAAGATGAATGTTTCTCCTTATTTGAGTGTAAGATAGAGAAAATATAGAGATTTTTTTTTGTTGTTTTACCTTGGGCTCATGATCTTATGAGTGATAATTGGAGTATTTATTTGGTTAGGTTGATGAAGAAATGAAGGTGGAGAAAGTGGAGTTCTTTTTTGATAGAGGTGAGCTGCTTGGTGGTCTTGTGAAGGGACCCCCACTTGACAAAGAGGGAAGCACTGCCACACCATCCATTTGCCCTTTTGCTGGCACTGGTTGAAAATTCGACATTATGTATGTGAAACTAACTGTTTCCACAATAAAACAAATATTTCAGTATCGTCTGCCAATATTGACCCTCTCTCTCTCAGTGGGGATGGCATTATGTATGGTGTATTCTCAGTGAAATTAATAGTTTAAAAAGAAAAAACAAATATTTCAGTATCATCTCTCAATATTGATTCTTTCTCTCGTTGAATTTTGTTAGCGTTGGTTCTATATAAACTTTTTCTTAAAGATACTGGAGAAAATTAATAAAAAAAATTTTAGAAAAAAAAAAAATTAGTGGGATGGAGCAGTCGGTTATGTTAAAGAGCTGGTTGGTTCCAAATATATTAGAAGAATCAGATTGGTTCTTCCGAATGGGCGATTCTAATCCAAAATGATATTTTTTTAAACCATGCATACGTTTGTTGTAGAGAGAGGTCTTGACATGAGTTAGAGAGAGATAGTAGAGAAAAGTTTTTTTGTATTTTTGTTAAAATCAAGTTTTGTCTTCTCTGTGAAAATGATTTTTGGCGTGTGCATAGTTTTATTTTTTTATAGTTTTAATTATTGTAAGAGTGAATTTTCCACTGTGCGACTCAACACAGTCGTCGTTATCTTGCATTATCAAAGCAAGTTACAATTGCCATAGAAAATAAATACTTAACATTAAAAAAAAAACAAAGAAAACCAATACTTCAATATCATTTACGAACATTGAGAGTGACTCTTTCCTAGATAAATTCCACTAGTCCAACTGGGATGACATCATGATATCGGTGAAACTTGCAATTGCCACAAAAAAATAAATATTTCAACATCGTCCATCCAATATTGACTTTCTCTCTTTCTCTTTCTCTCTCATCACAAAAAACAAACAGAAATTGACAGTTTTATTTTCAAATTTTTAAAATAAGTCTTTATATTTCATATTGTACATTCAAGTTTCACATTTGATAAAAGGAAATGTATTTTATTTTTATTTTTTTCTATACATCAAATTATAGAATGAAATGCATTTTATTTTTATTTGTTTTATACATCAAATTAAGGTCAAATTTGGTATATTAGTATTCTTCATTTCATGCACCTATAAAAAATAATAATTCAAAAATAATAAATGGCCACAATAACCCTATAATATCAGGGGTACTTTGATAATTTTATTTATCTTAAATTACTTTCACATTTTTTATATGTATATGTAATAAGAATCATAAACACAAAACATTTGAATTCGATCCAATATATAGAAAAAAGATAAAATTAAAGTACGCTATATACTTTCAAAAAGTGGATTTACGTGTAAAATATAAAATATAGGAAACCATTTTTTAATTTCAAAAATAAAATACAACTTTCCAATAAATTTTACACAAAAAATATTTCAATGCCATCCACTAACATTGACTCCTCTCTCGCTCTCTATGTGAAACCTACCATTATTATTGACCATTGATATGCAATCAGGTAGTTGGAGATGTACTCTTAACTAAGCACAGAGTTCAAAATAGAATATCTCAAATCTTATAGCACACTTTAACATGTTGGACTTCACATTCAATGGCAAAATGTGGTTCTGACTGCTTTGTATCAAAAGTAAATAGTATCGTAGTATATAAACTCTTATTTGAATATGATTCACCTACATCGACCTTCTCTCAATCTCTCTCATACACACCCAACGCACATGCCCCGCACTACCATACTGACACCCACACACACCCATACACGTATATCCCTCTCTCTCTATCGGATACACACCCACAAACACAAAGCCATGCACATAGCTCTCTCCCCCTCTCTCTCTCTCACATACTCAATATACATCTACACTTCCATCTCATACATACAAACATACACATATACACCCCTCTCACAAATAACTACACACGGACGCACAGAAGCACAAACGTTCATATCATAGTTTCATTTTCCAACCTTTTTCTCCAAAAAACACAAACCATGACTTGTTTTTTTCTCTTACCAAGAAAAAAAAAAGACAAACCATGATTTCTAGTAGTAAGGTTCCACTATTCTCCCTCCCTCCCTCTCTCTCCCAGAACAACCACTTAAATTAAATAGGGAATGATTTCATGCAATGATTATGTAGTAATATGATGAAATAATCTATGTTAATCATTTATTTGACTGTAATTTTTAATTATAGATTATTTTCATTCAAATGAATAATTATAAAAAAGCAAAATTTAAAAATACATCCCAAAAAGTATTTTTTTAACACAATTAACATAGGCTGTCCATTTTAGTGAGACGCAAAAATCTTAAAAAAGATTTTTTTTCCCTTTCCAAAATTTTTTTTATTATCATCAGATAAACAGTATTAAAAAAAATGATTTTGTGTTTGTAAAGACCTAAATCTTGAAATTCAAAAAATGCATAGTCTAAGATTAATGCTTGGAAGGAGGATTCATTCACCTGATATCTAAGATACAAATTGAATTTTTTTCTTTTGGGGATCGATTATTGGGATGGAGAAGACATGTGTAATTTTCAAAGTCAAATAAATGCCACAAATATAGTTTTTTAGTAATGTGATTTCATTATATTATAATGATATGATAATATGAAATCATATTCCCCTTTCTTGAAATATTCTTCTATAATAAAAAACAATATCATCTTTTGGAACTCGTTAAACTTTTCAGTCAAATGACGTAACCACCCCTCGTAAGTAACAATAACATCCTCAACTTCACTGCGTCTCCCCCCGATCTTTGCAAACCTGGCTAAGCAAAACCGGCTAAACAACCCCTTGTAAATGATCAGAATAACCTTCTAAACAAAACAACAATCACTTAACCAAGAAAATTAGAAGTGATCAGCATCAAACAGTCTAAAAACCATGAGGCTCCTTCCCTTAAACATACTTCCCTCTATACTTTGGCTTCGAATCTCTCTCCACTTTCAAATTTTCCATCAAACCCAAAGGGTTAAAAACAGCAGAATGCAGTCCACCATCCTCCAACCACTTGGCATGGTTCTCCTTAAACTCCCAGTGCTTCTCTCTAGCCAGCTCTTCCAATTCTTCAGTATAATGAGCAGTCTTAATCATGGTTAGCAAATAGCGACTATATCTTAGGCTAAGGATTTGCTCAGAAGTAGCAATCGTAGTCAAGCAAGGGTGTTCTGGGAATTGAATCATGGTGGGTCCCTCCTCTCTTGCAACTGGGTAAAAAAAGACAAGCCTCCCCCCCCTAACAAGCATTCGAGCTGCCAAATCGAGCAAATCGTGAATGCATTCAGCAAGACTATAAGGGGCAGTAGAGGGAATGTGGTCTCTACGTTTATCTTCGGGGACAGTGTAGGGGGCCACAGCACCCTTGAGTAGCTTCCGTCCACCTGATTTCCTGCCTCCAGCTCGAACCCCATATGGGGGGTCACATATAATTGCATCAAACACCTGAGATAAGAACCATAGTGAGATTTTCAGGCGTTAATGGAGGTACCACAAATTACTAGCAGCAATAACGAAGGCATAGAAAAACTAGGGAAGGCACACTAAAGATGATGTACATAGCATTAACTAGAGGCCATCTCCACCGTCTCCTAAATGATAGATGTTAGGGTGAATGCATGCCTTCCAGCTTGAAAAACAGATGGAGTTAAAGTGTAGAGTGACTCATCTTTACTGTCCGTCACTGCAGAGTACATGTAGCTCGAAACAACAAACAGATGGACAAGCGTATGTTCTTCTGCTGTATGCTTCTCTTTTGCCGATGATCTTGCACAACATTGTGTCTTTTGTCAGGTTATGATTTAGTACAAAGTACTAACAAGCATACTGTTAATGGCATCAATTTCTTTCTGTCATCTAGCAACCATACCTGATCTAACTTTGTATAGGTAGATATAGCATAGAGTTGGCCATGAGAAATTTTGAAAAAGGTGTGTGAACTTGGGTTAGATGTATGCATAAACTAGTGAGCAATGCTACAATATGTGGATGGGCAATGCTAGGGTATTCTCACACTAATGAGCCTTTAAAAAATCCTCAGATCCATTTTAAGGACACCAGCATAGGGAAACAAATGGCAAACTTGGGATCTGTCGGTGAGATACATCGTTAGTATCTTTTGGATCAGTGTGAGCAAGTGCACACTTCAGCAGTGAAAAACGAGAAGAAAAAAAACGTATTATCTATGAAAAGGTTTATAGTGTTTAGAGAAAGTTTACAGTTGCATAAGCATTAACACAATGGTTTCCAGATGGTTAGTCTCAGAGGTCATATATCGTATTAATTCTGTACCACAATATTTGTATCAGCTTCGGTTTTTATAACATATCTGCAAGATGTACTAATAGGCAAGCACTCTCTCATGTAGTATTTACCTGTGCATGTTCTAATGTAGGGGTGGCTTAGCCATATTAAGAACCAATGTGTTTTAAAGCTGCAGTGCTCCATTGTAAACAACTCAAATCTCAAACAGCTTTTGAATTGCAGGCTGGTTTGAATGATGACTACAAAAGAGTTTGTAATCAATATTGGCCAACAAGGAACGCTGTAATTCAATGACACTAAATCCTCTGTAACATAAAGAAAAATGACATGGGTTTGTATGTGTTACCTCCATCATAGTGGATCACTGTCTTATCTCATGCTGGCTTTCATAGGCAACCTTGGCAGTGAATGAGACAGAGGATGAGGGCTTTTTTTGGGTGAATAGAGGATGAGGAAAAGAAAGAACATATTCTAATGGGCCAAGGTGTTTACATTAGAACAAGTTCACATTCAGAAATGTAACGAAATGTTCGTATCTCAGAGCCCACCTTGCTGGAAACCATATTAGACAGATTGCATTACTTTCTGTTGGATGGGCACCAAGGTGCCAAGGGACAAATGAAACAGACAATAATACCATGTTCCAATAAAACATGTTGAGGTTTTTTCTATTTCATTCTTAAACTACTCAGGACATAGGCATGGCCTGCACTAACACTTAGTCCAAATGAGTTACCATTTGATTGAATTCCTTGAACCCTTTCCATCTTCACTGGCTCCTTGATCAAATGACAGGAAGCTCACCTTATCATTCCAGACCCTTCTCGGGTAACAAGAGTATAATTATTGCTCAAGGATCTTGAACATGAGTTCTTTCTAAACTGCTCAGCACATAGGCATGGCCTGCATTAACATTTCAGACACTTCTCGGGTAGTAAGATAGTAATTAGTCCAAATCACTTACCATTTGATTTGAATTCCTTGAACCCCTTAAATCTTCACTGGCTCCTTGACCAAATGACAGAAAGCTTCACGTTATCATTTTAGACCCTTCTCGGGTAATAAGAGTGTAATCATTTCTTAAGGCTCTTGAACATGAGTTCTTGGGGCTAGAGATGTCAACATTTCCTGATCTCCTAATATTCTTTGCATGTACCAAGGTTTTCTTCCAAGATGTTATTTCCAATTCATGTAGCCGAACCCAAATAGTTGGGATAAGGCTCGGATGATGATGTAATTTCCTAAGTAAATCACTAAATTTGATAATTGTTTTGTGACCTTTCGTCCACAAAAGCAAAAACCATGTGATAAACCATTCTCACTCCTGCACTAAGATGTTTGAGAACCAACTGTTCAGTCTTAATGTGAGTTTCTAAATACTTTGTGACTTGTAGAGTAATATATCTCAAAAAGTACACGGATGAACCTCTAACTATTATTAAATCATCCCATAAAATAATCGTTTTATGGGATGTTGAGATGGATGAGTGGCAAGACAAGAAAGGACAGAATTCAGAATCAATATATCCGAAAGAACATGGGGTGGCTCTAAGAAGCAATAAGATGAGGGAAAGTGAGGGAAGTGAACTCAGGTGGCCTGGAATGTCGACCTAGAACAATACCAGTTAGCAAGGATAATTTGTCAAGTGCAAGGCTCTAAAAAGCCAACGGGAAGGTTCAAAAGGACATAGTTGGAAGTAGTGAGAAGAGATATATGGTGACGTGTGCTCTGACTGAGGGTATAGTCCTTGATAGACAGGAATAGCATAACGGATTTCTGTAGCCAACTCCAAATAGTTGGAATAAGGATCCAATGATGATGATGATGAAAATGATAGTTTGTAAGTTTGATAAGTTTGATGCTAAAGCAAATTTATGAATTCAGACAACGAGAGTGAGTACGTTAACAACCACATGTGCCATTTCTCTCCATAAATGACATTGCCCAAAAGACCTCTCTTCACACTCCATGAGAAAAAAGAGTAGCAGGGTACCAGATCACGCGAATCAACACCACTTCCTATGTCCTACTTGCAAAATTGTCTTCTATATTGATGTCCTACTCATTGGAAGTACCTAGGTCCTAGCAAGTCACATGCCATTTTAAATGCATGTCACATCATAAATTGATTGCTATCCCAATTCTTAATATGTCACCCTTCAGAAGCCTAAATGAAAGCCCGCCATTGATTTCTTCGCTCCTCTGTGTTTTAAGTTGCATGTGTCAAATTCACTTGTAGGAGAACAATAGACACAAATTACATACTAATTAAGTGTACCTTCTTAGGCTAAATTCCCACGCAAAAGGGATGGAAATGTTATAATTGTACTGCAAGCAAAGTTCTATGTTCCTGCAAAGTCACCATTCACGAAGGGATTCCTCATTTTGGTAATGTTAAAGAATCATTCATAAATCCCAATCAAGCAAGATCCATCCGAAAGCTTATGAGATGGTTTACCCATATTGTCAATCCATGATTCTGCTCATGTGTCACCAAATCCATAGTCCCTGTCAAAGGGGAGCGACGTTCTAAAACTTTCAATAGGATCTGTCCTAAATTGTTTTATTTATGACTGCGGTGTACATGTGCCATCTTTCAAGATAACCAAGTTTGAGAAACTTAATTCAGTTGTGGCCACAGATGGTGGGCCCACTCGCTCTCTCCATCACCCTCCATTTATATCAGGCAGTGATAACCCAAAGGGCAATAGTTTCCATAGTCCTTGTATTATAGTATAGTTTCCGAGAGATGATTTAATAGCATCACTTAGGACCAAGTCTGAGAATCTAAAAATGAGAAACATTCTTGAAGCCACTTATCGAGAGAGAGAGAGAGAGAGAGAGAGAGAGAGAGAGAGAGAGAGAGAGAGCCAAGTATTAGAATCTAAGAATAAGAAACATTCTTGAGAGCTACTTATCAAAAAGAAAAAAAATAACATTCTTGAGAGCCACTCATCAGAAAAAAAAAACACAGAGAAAGGGGGAGAGAGAGAGAGAGAGAGAGCTGCAATATTCCCGTGTATTACACGCCAACACATTATGTCTACCATAATAGCAATGGACAACCAGAAGTCCTACCTCTTTCAGTCCCGAACGCCAAGGCGGAAGGTTATTATCTGCCCTTAGAATAGATAAGGGTGCAGGTAAATCATACTGCAGAAAAAAGCACAATCAGTTAATAAGTTAAGAATTAAAATGTGTTTATTTCTTATGCAAGCATCAAACACAAATATCTTCCTCTTCTTTGTCATAAGTTACCACAAATTCGTCTATTTATCTTATCTGATTAAATTAACACAATCACTGGAAATTTATGTTTAATGTAACCACAAAGCCTAAACCTTATTAACAATGTAGAGAACACATATATAAATAAATATCAGATTCTGACTAACACATGATACATTAAACAAAAACATGTTCCACAAATGCATTTATCGGAAAACAAACTTAAGTTGATGGATAATGAAAGGAGAAGAATGGGACATACTTGCTTAAAATTGCTCCAAACATTGCAATCAGGTCCACGACCATCACGAACTACCCTAATGTCAATGTCTGCACCCTGAAAATCGAGCTGTTTCAAAGAAATGAAAAGTAGCTATCCACTAAACAACATAATTTCCCAACATAAATGAAGTAAGAATCTGTCCTCTTCAGTTGAAGATAACAGTGTCCTCTTCAGTTGAAGATAACAGATGTCAACATGTATCTCCTTGAATGCAGACCTAAAAACTAGCCTCCAAAACATCAGACTCAATTGAACCACATCTGGGCTAATTCACGACTCCTCGAGATCTTCCTTTCTATATGACAATTTTGAAAACTATGTTCGAGAAATAGATGTTAATTTTTAATACATATCCTTCTTTTTGTTTGTTTTATAGGACTTGTTATTTCCAACACAACCCTCTTCTCCACATCCTCAACCCCCAGCCCAGTGGCTCTCTTAAGCACACACCATATCTCCCTTTCCATAATTCTTAGACCTGCCCATGCCCAACTCCACCAACCCCCCCCCCCCCCTCCCCTCTCTCACCCTCTCTCACACACACTCACATAGTCATCTGCATCTGTAATTGCAACTCACTGTCATTCTAAGACGTCCCACCCACCTCCCCACCCCATGTCTCTCTCTCTCAGCACAGCCCAGTTCAGGAAAAATAAGGGTACACAAAAGGTCAGTTCGGGAAAAACTAAGGGTATAAAAAAAGTTATGCCTTCATAAATTCAATGTACAGACCCAATTCTTCATTTTGCTAACAACAAATATGTATTTCTAACACAACGGACCATTGTCATCGCTCCAAAATGTGCAGCAGCAATAAGAATGCTTCCAGTTCCAACAAAAGGGTCATACACGAGTTTTCCAGGCCGAGCCAAGGCTTGATTGGCCATGAGAAATGCCATCTCCGCATCCATAGCAGTCGGTCCCAAATAGGTTCGACTCTTCAGCTCATAGGTTGGCAAAAGCTTTCTATCAGCTGCTCCCACTTCCCGACCAAAGAAAATTCTCTTCTGAACAACAGGTGGGAGGCCATTGTTTGACCCATAGTCATCGGTTTCCATCAGCCAGAACTTGTGATCGGGTTTCCGTAAATTAACTCGACCCTGAAAAAAGTTGTGTTTGCCATAAACATCACTTTACAGTTAGGAAAGGGAAGTAACTTAAGTGGTTCTGAGAAAGTGAACAAAGTATCTTGAAGCTGGTAAAAGAATTCTCTAGGGGAAGTGTACTATAATATACTCTCTTCCATGACTGTTCGTCATATCATCAGACAGTGATGACCCCAATGGACCATGAACATCCAAGCCCATGGACTATGATATTCAACATTCCATTGGAGTATAGTATAATTTCCCAATTTTCTATTGCACAAGTGGAACTGGATTGTACATTAATTATAAGCATCCTAACAGGCATTGGGCTTCTGAGATAGCTTAACTCAAGGAAAGTTAAAAAAGAAGTCTGCTTAACATCAGACTTACCAAAAAAAGCAACAAACCTTGAAAGGTATATATACAAGTCTCGCCATACGTTCATTTTGATCTTGCGAGCTGAGAACCTTGCCAAAGCTGTCCACAGTGATCCTAAATGTGCTCCCTGCAGCCAAGTATTGCAGCTTCCGTTCATCTGGAAACTCTTTTATAGCCCTTTCTAATTCTTCATAGCAGCTGCCTTCTCCCCAAAGTTCATAGATTCCCTTAACAAGTAGACCTGCGAATTTCCATTTGATAAGGATAAAGCTCACTCGGAAGACAAAGGGACAGAAATCAAATGGAAAGTTAATCAATACAAAGAGAAATCAGTGGTACAAGTACACCACTCTAAGCATGCATTACAAAGAAGCATTCTTTTTCTGAAACGTATACTCAAATGGAGTATAGAAAAACCAAAGAGCACTGGATCTCAACCGATTATTATCATGAAAGGTGATCGACAAAGAAAGGACATGCCTGTGTCATATAGGACATGATACCATTGTTGAAGATAGCACTGTTAATATAATCACTAATTTCAATGCACAGTGGTAACGCAATGGACAATGGTCTCTCCATAGTCCACTAGAATATAATAATCGCTTTCTTCTGAAAAAAGAAAGAAAGAAACGGGGTGGATATTACATTGCAATATCTACTATGATACAACATACTCCTTGTTGTCCCTCTCCATAACAAAGAGATAGTTTAAAACAAGAGCTGAGTACATAATCTAGCTTAATTGTCGAAAATAAGATAATCACATAGTCTAAGTTATGAAGAAGTGTAATGTTTTCCAAACTAGTGAACTTAATCGAATCAGTGCCTTTCACACAATTTAATAGAATCAATTAGATTGTCATTGCCACAGTCAAAACACACTACACATAGATTGAATATAACTTTTCATAGAAGAATTAAATATCACAAAGTAGTTCATTCTATTTCAAATCAATGAGTTTATTGTCATTGTGTCAAAGAAAAGGTAGCAATAATGATAAAAGGGAGGTCCCTCCTAGGAAGTGAGAACCATTATGCAAATTAATGAAAACCACAAAAGGGGACGTAACTTCATTTTCTTGATAGTGGGACAGGAAGTGTAGACTTACAACATACATTGGTTTGAGGAAGAGTGTTGATTAGGAAGTAGGAACCTATGATTTACGGTTAAGCACATTTTGTGAAATTTATATTATGACTGTAAAAGGGAATCCCCATTGTTGTACATAGGTCTATTCCCGTAAGTCCATATTCATCCTTAGAAACAAAGAAATAAAAAAGATCCTCTAAGAAGAAATTTCAACTACAGATCCATCCAAAATAAAAAAAAATAATATATATATATACCTTTAACAGTATTCGCAAGATTCAGAATTTGTCTTTTAACATGCTTTGCGAGAAATTTTCAACTACATACTAATCCATAGAAAGACAAATTCAACTACAACTTTCAGTGTTCAGTAGATTCAATATATTCAATGCTTGACAATGAATCAGTAAAAAACACAACTACATCTAGTGATTCAGAAAATGAAGTACAATGGATAGAGTTGCTCGTAAAGTAATAACCACAAAAGCAGATGAGTTAAACAAGAAAAAGAAGTATATAGACTTACACATTGGAAAAAAGCTAAGTATACTCAAAGCTGAGAGAGTCTATTTGCTTATCTAGAGTGAACGGAGACTGTTACCACAACCTCCAAAACAAGATAAGAAAAATTGAGTGGCTCTGATAAAACACTTTCTGCATTTCTTGATTTCACAAATACAACGAAAATATGGTCTAAATTTCAGTTGATTCCAAAAAATAGAAGGAAAACAGGGTCTTCATTTCTCTTAGTTTTAAAGGCTGAAAAGAAAATATGGCTTTACCAATGATGAAAACAGCATTTAGGAGGAATTTATCATTAAGGTAAATCCCTCTGGTTTCTAGCAATTCCTCGAAACAAATGTGTATCCAGTGCTTTGACAGCACTTTAGAAGTGAGAAAGAAAGTTAGAAAAGAAAACCATTTGCTCTTTCTGTCAGGAAATTCTTCGAACAATATAAGAGATGAAAACTGAAACCCCATGAATCATTATATCTCTTAAAAAAGTAAATGAAACTTACTTCTCTGCGCAATTTTTCGAGCAATATCCTCAGAAGGTAGAGAGACAAAGTGGAAGGGAGAGTCGGGGTGGTGATTCTCAGGGAGCCTCCACTCCACCAAGAATTGGGAACCGTGGCTTCCTCCTCCTTCTTGATTTGAATCTGTTTTCAACAAGAGCTCAGCAAGAGCCTCTACTTCTGGTCTCCTGAAGTCCAACAGTCTGTGATAAAACACACATAGAAACCACATACTTTGGTACTCTTTTGCTCTGCTGAGTGATCAATCAACTCCAAAAGTTCAGAATCACAGAAGAGAGGTAGAGAGAGATGCAATGGAGGTGGATGGTAGAGAGCGAGAGAGACCCAGCTTAAATGCACTTCACCCGATGAAAAGAAAAGAAAAGAGGGAGAGTAGCCAACCTAGAGAGAGAGAGCGGTCATGGATTGCGAAGAGAGAGAAACTAAATCACCAACTTATCCCTAATAGCAGTTTTATGGGATTGTATATTGAGATTAATTTATCTATGGTATGGGGAGGTCATGATATGATTACCCATGGCCATTAAATTAGATGTCAAATTATATCCCTTGGGTTGCCTATAAAATTCGAGAATTTTATTTTGAATTTTAAGTCTAGTATTACAACTATCACGTTTCAAATCCTACAAACTAACTAAGAGTAGTTCTGATTTCTTGTATTAAAAATAAATGATTTTTTTGAATTTTACGTCTAATCAATGACATACTTACAATTATTGGATTTCAAATCCAATAAACAAAAATAATTGTGATTTCTTGTATTTAAAGTAAATGGTTTCTTTATATGCTTTTCTTTTTAAATAGCTGCTGATGTCTTACAACCCTGTCATTTTTTATCTAGATTGTCGAATAGGATGGGAATCGGTTGGGGTCAAATTGGTTTTGGGGTAGTATGGATCCTAACAAGGTTAGACCCTATGACTTGTTTATATATTTTTCTTTTTTTTTTATGAAGTTTGTTTTATATTTTATTCCATCTCCTCTTAATCCACACCCCATTAAACTTCTATTTTGATTCTAATTACATTTTTTATTTCACTTTTTTTAAAAAAATATTTTTCTAGAGTACTATTCAAATTGATCCAAACCCGATCCTGATCGCCAATCTAGCGATATCATATGAATCTAGGGGTGAATCATCCAGATTTTAAAACACTTCTCACCTCTTAAGAGCCCTCGATTTTTTGCATGGTTTGAGTGAACGGTAAGAGTATTAAGTCCTCTTACTTTGCCCATGTTTTTTTATATTTAAAATTTAATAAAAATAAAATGTGACACAAAAATCAACTCAAATGATTCTAAGCCGACCAAACAAATTATAATATCAGCCAAACAAACAACTAGTCTTCAGTTTAAAAGGCTGCCTAGGAGTGTGCAGACCCATTTAAATGAAGAAGAACTCGAAGATTTTTATCGAGTAGGCGTTGGGCTTAAAATTGTTGGACTGGGTTTTCACCAAGAGGGTGAGAGTGAGAAAGAGAGAGAGAGAGCCTGATTTAAGAGTTGATCTCATTTGGAAGCAACGGATGTTATTTTATTTATGCGGTGCCATGGAAATGCCATTGGATTCACAAAGCAATACTAGGCAGAATCGAGAATTTGAACTAATCCAAATTCCAAAGTCAAGTAAAGCAGGCCTCTCTATGCGTTACCATTGCCTAGATGCAAATCTAGGGAACCGGGCATGGCCTGTCTTGGTCCTAGCCCAGCCCTAGTCCTTAGAAATGCTGGCCAAGCCTGGCCAGGCAGAAGAAGCCCTAACCTAAGGCCGGCCTTGAAAAAAGACAATTTAAGAAAAAGAAACAGAAAATAATAAGGAGAAAAAATCGGACCGAGTAGGGCGGGCCTTGTTGTGGCCCCAGCCTAGGCCCAGCCCTAGCACGGCCATCGGGCCACAATCTGTGCCAAACCGGCACATAGTTTAAAATAATGCTGGACCACCATGATTTAAAAAATCCAATCCGAGAATGGGTAAATGACACCTGCTATATAAAAATGGTATCTTAATTCCAAAAGACACGGAGTAGTTGCAAAAATAAACAGTATCACGTAGAAAAAAAAAATAGGATCAAGGGGGTAACTAGAAAACTAGGAAGAAGCCCAGCCCTCTTACTTTCCAGTTTACAGTTGAAAGGGGTCATTATCTCCACTGGAACTGAAAACCTCTTTTTCCCTATCTCGAAGTAGTTCCATCTATGAATAAAAGTCACAGAAGCATCCAAACTGGGGCTTACTTGATATACCACACTGAGGTTTCTTATAGTGCTTGAAAATGGCCCATAGGCTCCAGCAACAGTCCAGTGTCAATTGTGGTTCCTCGACTCAAAAGTATGTTAAAAAGGAGGGTCTGCAATTAAATAAGGGCATGACTTTGCCAATACACAGCTCTCTCTCTCCATCTTACATTGATGAGGAGCATGACTTTGCTACTACACAGCTCTCTCTCTCTCTCTC